TTTAATTGTTGTCGAGTTTCGGACTTCGCTTTCGCCGAGTCTCCATATGGTGTCCTCACTGAGTGCTCTCTTTGTTGTCTCTGAAAACAATATGCCCGATAGCTCGTGGCTTGTAACTCGTGCCTCGTGGCGCTTTTGATAAACGGCAGACACAAAGCAGCCGCTCATAAATAATCATTTATAGTGCCAGCCAGCCAGCCAGCCAGCCAGACCTGAGCTGAGCTGAACTGAGCCGAGCTGAAGTGAACTGAACTGAAAGCCATCAGGCGGAGAAGTTGGACAACCTAATGATTGCTAATGGAACTGCTGCCTTTGGCACTCTTTTGGCTCAGTTTCACTTTACAGCTGATCAAATGGGAATGTGCTCATACAGCCTGAGAAATATTTTTAGCAAGTCTGTATAGTTGCAAAATGAGTTGAATTTATAGAGAATATTTAAAGTCTTGCATAGCTGGAGCGAGAGTTAGGATACAGCATTGAGAGCTGCACAAGAGTTAATTCCACATTCGAGGTCAAGTCTTGGCTACAGAAGAACTCTTAGGCGATTGGGAGTAAATAGTTCAGTTGTTAATCCATTCTGAATTTGAAGTTGGGGGCGAAAACCCTCACTTCCAACTCTGAACTCTCGGTCAAATTTATGGCGTAAAAGAGTTTTAAATTCCAAAGGAAATAAATAATATTGTCAAATCAACGCATAAAATAACGTTGCAGTCGGGCATTACCAACTGAAGTATACTCATTCACGGCCCAAACGAGGCGTATGACAGGTCGATTTTCGTATTGTCATATATAGTATATATATATTGAATTTTTGTGCAAATAGAGGATGTCAACTGTAATTAAATTATTATATTTTAAGCTTTAAAGCTCTAAAAAATATACATAGTTTTTCCCGATTCACAACTACCAAAATAAATGTGGATATATGCACCATATCTGATTCTGGACTCTTAACTCGAGTATACATATATTCAGAATTTCTGGCACATCAATACTATGGTTTCTTGTGATTCGCCACGCCCCTAGCGGGCGGATGGGATAAATTGTGTTAATTTATATACTGTATCATTCTAGTGTGTGTTCCAGGTTTCAAGTTTTTTCCAAGATGGACATTGCACCGAACCAATATACTCATTTCACTTTCTTGAATGGGTATAAATGGAAAATCATGCATAGCTAAATTAATTTGCTTCAACTATATTTCGAATAGAACCTCAGCTGAAAATCAATAAAACCAAATATGAGATTCTAGAAAATAATATTTTCTCATTTATTCTTTCTCTCTCTCTTTCTCTCTCTCTCTCTATTTTGCCTTATTGAGATTTTCATTTAATGAGGCTCAAATGTCGAATCAACGAAAATTTTACATTTATCGACATAAGGGTATTATGCTTGTTTCTCACATTTCACTTTACTGCATAACGACGTTTTTTTTTTTTTTTTTTTTCTTTTTGCTGTTTTGTCTCGTCAATGAAATTTGTTTGATTAATAATGGTTGAAATTATGACATTTTATTGTGCGATTGATTGTAGTACGATTATTTGACTTAACGTTTGCAAAAATTAATTAAACCCAGTATAAACAATGGGAAAGCCACAGAGTTCAGCTGGTAGAGCTACATAAATGAAGTCAAAGCTTGTTCAACTCGGTAATTTTCGATTTGTATCACGAATTGCCAAGGGGCTCGAAACAAATTTGCAATTGATAAGAGGTAAATTTGTATTTGCGCGGAAAAAATATTAATAAATTAATGAGAGGGCTCAAACGTTGTCAATTTTTACGAATTAATCAATTTTGTTCAAAGGGTAAATACTTCGGGCTATGTATATATCTATGTAAATATTGCCGTAGTCTGTAATAAAATGGTTAATTAAATAGAATTTAATAAAAAATAATTTAATAAATAATAATTACATTGTGAAATTCGATTGAAATCATTAATTCCAGCGAAAGCAATATCTAACGGTAGCTTAACACACTTCGCAATTGATAAGAGATTCAATTGTATTTATGTGGAAACAATTTGATGACTCAATGAGAGAACCGAAGTGCATTGAATTTTTAGAGGACAGCGCGTTTTACGAACTGTTCATTGTCCACTTAGCGAGGGGAAAATAATTGCTATATGTACACATATATAGTAATTGTATGGGTATCAGCATTTATATATTCGCCAAAGAACAAAATTGCAATTGATAAGAGGTAAATTTGTAATGAATTAATGAGAGGACCAAAGGGTTGCAATTCAATTTAAATGCCTTGCGCTTCTATGTGAATGTGAATGTGTGTGATATATATTTTGATGCAATACTTTGCTCCCAACGGGATAACCTTATACCCGGATTTCCCGTTTTCAATGGCTTCAGCGTATAAAAAGTATATTCGTTTATTGCAAAGTCCTTCTTGCCGTCCATCCGTCTGCCTGGCTGCTCATGTGTCCGTATGAATGCCAACTATTGCGATGCTGGAGACTGGAAATGTGGAGCACATACGCGTGTATACCCTCGCCAGACAGCACTGACAAAAATATGATGTGATGATATGATGTACGGTGAAATTATGATAAATAAATTGACAATAAAATTGTGCATGTACCACCTGAATTGATTCACTTTCAATGGATCCAGGGTATAAAGCAAAGCATCACGCAGTCGGTAGCGCCCAGCTGCACCGTTATTTCTTGTTACTATAAATTTGATTAATATTCTCACACTGAGTACAGAAAATCGGACTGCCCCTTTTTATTTATCGCTTGTCTTCTTATACGATAAACAGTTTTTTTTAGAGTCTCAGAAAGGAAGTCAAAAAATGTCGCAAAAAAACCTGTAGAAATTGTGCAAGCTAGTTAACAATTAATTAATTAAAATTAATGATTTCAAGCAGGATTATGCGCCAATGAAAGGCTGTAGAATTAGCTTTTTAACGCGCTCCGTTAATCCAAAAACAACAGGCGAAAAACAATGCGTTTCCATGGTAACTAGCAGAACACGTTAAGCTGCCTGCGCAATTAAAAATAGGATAGGTTAAAAAAAAAAAAAAAAACAAGTAAGAAGGCTCCAGTCGAGACTGCTCGACTAGGAGATACCCTGAACCCTCTAAGCTGATATTTTAATCATTCTGCATTTCTTTTATGTACACATGCATACACACACACGTATAATCACTAGGAGAATTTATTTGTCGAATAATTTTTTTTGAAGACATACAATCTTAATGAAACTTTCAGAGCGTAATCATATAGTAATAATGTGTGTACATTCCCAAGCACAAGTCTCTAGTACTTGAAATGCGTTTTTTACAAATTGGTGGCGAAGGGGGCGTGGTATCCAAAATCTGAAACCTATAGTCTACGGGTCTATGAGCGCTGGTAGTCCAGCTCCTGGAGATATTTCGGCGTAAAGCTAGGAAATATTCTATATAATCTACGGAAATATTAAAGCTGGTAATCTACCTGCTAAATCTGGAGATTTTCGGCATAAAATTGTAAAATATTCTAGCGTGTCCTGCACTCAAGTTTTGAGATCTTTTGGTATAAGAGTATATAAATTATAAAAATTCCCATATGCCACTTAACCACCAACAACAACCACATTTAACTGAATTGTCTATAAGGTCGAAAGTAAGCCAGAAATTTTCTCAATTTTGATGATCTACCTCTAAAATAGCATAAAATATGCTTAGTTTGTCAGATAATTAAAGATATAGTTTTGTATGCCGTTTATTGCATATAAAATTGAAGACTAAGCAGAGTGTTCGTATATCTATCAGGCTTAAAGTCTTAGCCTCAGTAGCTCTTGAAATAACCTAAAATATATGCGAATTCCGATTGGCTACGATCACATTGGATCCACCCAAAGTATCATAGCAGTTTCAGGAACAATACACGCATATCTTTGACAAATTTCAAAGTCCATTCATACGTCCAGCTGGACGGACCAGTATACCCAGTCCCGTGCGTGAACGTGAATAAAACCCCATCAATTTGTTGGGAGTGACCGAGGAGCTGTGTCCGTTAGTTGCCGCACCACATCCGCATCCGCATCCACATCCACATCCGCATCCACATCGCCCACATTGCCGTTTGGTACATCTATGTGCGGTTTTGTTGGTGCCAGCGCTGCCTGAGCTGCAATTCAGGCAAAGGACACTCGAGCCAAGGGCGAGGGCTGCCTGGGGCTGGGCGGGTGGTCTGAATTGGAGAGGTGAGGCAACAAGAGCCCTTTCATTAACCTTTTTTTTTTTTTATTTTATTTTATTTTATTTTTTTTTTTTTGGGTTTTTGGGTTTTTTTTCTGGCATGCAACATAATTCAATTTGGTGGCTGTTCGTTTTGTATTAATGCAGTGCACGCATCGTGTGTTGGCTAGCGTGGTGTCAGCTCGAATATCGTAAATTGGAATAGCTTAGCAGCTGCTATACTATTCACTTAATTAGAAAGTATTGGCATTAGCCTTTTGGGCCAGCGAAAGTCCAATTCGAATTGCATGCAATATTTTGTGGTGTTTTTTTTTTTTGTGAGTTGTTGTCTTCTGTTTCGTTTTTGGGAAATGTTTTGGCTGGCTGTAAACAACTTGTGGTCTATGGTCTAAATATTACGTATACGTCGCGTTGCCGGCTGCTGCTGCTCTGCTGCTGCTGTTAGCGCTGTTAACGCTTGCTGTTGTACACGGTGCGCATGCCAGGGAAATTTTAACAGAGCCCACAAGGGAAATTCTTGTGCCGCAGCAGCGACAGCAGCGACAGCATCAACATCATCAGCAGCAGCAGCGGCAGCATCGCCAGCAGCAGCAGCAACCATTGCAGGACAGTATGAAACAGGACTCAGCGCAGACGGCACGCGTTTCGCTTTGAGGAGAACCAAACGCGAGAGTCGCAGCAGTCGCAGCAATTGCTGTTGTCGTAGTCGCAGTCGCAGTTGTTGTCTCGTCTCCGTGGCCGTGTCTCTGTGTCTGCCTGTCTGCCTGCCTGCGTGCGTGTGTGTGTGTGTGTGTGTGTGTGCGGGAGTGCGTGTCTGTGTGTGCGTGTGTGCGTACCTCTCAATCTATGTGTGCGTGTGCCTGTGTGTGTGTGTGTGCTAGTCGCGCATGTGACTGCCAGCTGCGTTCGTTTAGTGAGTTTGAATGAATGAATGCTGCCGCCGTCATTGCTGCTGCTGCTGTCGCTGCGAAAGTAGCAACAGCAGCAACTGCAATGGCCAGCCAACCAGCTGATAACAATAATAATATTAATAACAAGAATCATAATAGTTAGCCAGAAAGAACAACCAGCTAAGGCTTGGACATTGACGGCGCTTAACGCCTGCCAAAAACGCACAAAAAACGCACGAAACGAAAAAAGAAAAACGCGCACAAAACGCTTACATAAGTTTTGTGTGTGTGTGCTGATGATGGTGATGTTATTGCTGCTGCTGCTCTGGCTATGTGCAGCAGCAATAATCAGCCTGCAAGTGCCGCCTAGAGAAACCAGCAACAACAACAACAACAACAACAACAGCAAAAACAACAATAAAGAAGAAGAAGAAGGAAACGCAACTTCATAAAAAAAATGAATTCTTAAAATTGTGAGGCGAAAAAAGGCGCGCAGCTTTTGGCAATTGTTATGGCAGTTGTTGTTTTTGTTGTTGTTGGCTTTGCGTTAAAGCATCGTCTGATTGCCACGAACATTTTCGTTGCCTACTTTGTGGCGCGCGCGCGTTTCTTGGCATTGTTTGTTGTTGTTGTTGCTGCTGCTGCTGCTGCTACTGCTGCTATTGCTGCTGCTTCTGCTGCTGAGCTGCAAAATTGTTACACGGTCATTGCGGAGGTCGCGCTAACAAAGCTGCCAAGGCAAAGATAAAGAGCAACAACAACAACAACAACAACAGTAGCAACAACAATTCATGGCGACAATTGCGAGTCAGTTAGGAAATTTAAGTTGCAAAAATTTCATAACCGAATTGCAGCTGCAGCTGCAACAACAGCACGCAGCAGCAGCAGCTGCAACAACAGCAACTGCATTTCAAGCCAATTAACTTTTGTTAATTATGAATATCAATTAATTCGATCAACTTGTTGCTATTTAAGTCGAATTGTGAAACATCTTTTCGGACGGCTATTTTAGTGTTTACCCATGTTTAATTCATTTCGATTTCGGTCTGTTTGTAGCAACAATAACAGCCAAATAGACAATAGACTGGGTGAGTGCGAGTGTGGGAGTGAGAGTGAGAGAGAAAGAGTGAGTGAGCAAGCGAAACGCATTACACAGAAAAGTTTCAAAGTGTTAAGAAGAAGAATCGACTTTTCAAATCTTCGAGTGAATTGTTTCTGTATTTTGTTGTTGTTTTTTTTTCGCCATCCGGGCAAAGTTTGTTGCTAATTTTTTTTTCGTTTTTTGTTCTGTTTGCAAACTATGATAAAAAGCAAATCAAGAAAAATATAAAAGAAATTGAAATAATCAAATTGTGCACAATAAATTTTTGAAGAATTCAACTAAAGGAATGAAAAACTAAATGCAAATAAGCAGGCGAGAAAAACGAGAACGTAAACGAGAACGAAAACGAAGACAAAAACAAAAACAAAAACAAGCAACAGCAAATGCAAACATAAAACGAACAGAGAAACAACAATTGAAGTTAAGGAAACGGAAGCGAGTTTTTCTTTTGGCGGCGTTGTTGTTGTTGTCTTCCGTGACAGCAGCCAAGGTAAGGCTCAAAATGCAAATTGAAGACGAACATGCATACATTGTATATTATTATATTATTGTAAGCAACATAAGCCATTTAATACTTTAAGTTTTGTTTTTATTCAACTCGGGCTGGTAAACATTTCGGAAATCTCAGGATTCGAATGGAGATTACGAATATACAAGTATTGTATTGGGTTTAGTCTAGTGCCAAAAATGGTTGATTGGCAGGCGAGCCTGAAGAAGTTCTTTCGAATTTCATTTAAGAGGCTGAAAGATTAAATAGGATTATCTATTCCAAAATGAATATCTGAAGTAAGACATTTTTCACTCTAGTAATTCCCTTTTAAAATGAAAATCAAGTTAAAACGTCGCAGCAGGGCGTTATCGACTGCAGAATACTCATTCATGGCACAATTTCTATCTATTTTTCGATTTGCCACGCCCCCGATTGGTACACGTATATTATAGATAGTTAACAGTAAGGTAGCCATTTTAAGTTTTCAGCTCTAAAACAAGCCGAAAAGTATAGATTTTCCCTATTTGCCACGCCCTCAATGGACTTAGGCATATAGTCGACATATCTATGTGATGTCGGGCTGTTAGTCCAAGGAAAAAATTTATTCTAAATTTAATGCATTTTATTTGTTGCCACGCCCATAGTGGGCATATTGGGGAAATCTTGTGACTTGATCAAACGATTGTATATGGGAGTATATGTTCCAAATTCCAAGTCTCTACTGTAGAATAGAATCGAAAAACATTGTGGACGAACCAACATTGCACAAAACCAATATACCCGTTTTACTTTCGAGAATGAGTATAAACAGAGATTTGCAGCTGATGAGCTGGCACAAGTCGGACCGAGCGATTTGGCGAGGCTGTGCAGAGCAGCGGTTTAGTTAATTAAAAAGTTTTACTTTATGTTTTTACAATGAATTTGGCTGAGCATAATTAGCATATTCAGTTAACTGACATAACTGAATTTTTGAATAATAAATAAGTTCTCTTAATATTTCAACACCTCCAGTATGTATGTATAAGGGAAGAGCAATTTCTGTATTATGATATGAATATCTCGAAGCTGCTGTAATAAGATCATTCCAAGTATTCTTGGGCCGTTTCTTAGAAATGGGTAATAACTGTAAATATAATTAACTTTTTTTACAAACTGATAAGATTTCAGAGAACTTTTGCAAAGTAAGTGGAATTAATAAATGAAGGCGTAAGGACATGAAAAATTTCAATATATTGCTTTATTATTATTATTTTTTTTTTTAAATTCTTTTCATTTCGACTTTCGACTGTATTTTTCATTCCGTATAAAATGAGTTTTAGTTCTTTTTTTTCGCACTTTTTCAATTAAAATACACCGAATATTATGAGCAATGATATGATTGGAATAATTTTTGTGACGTGCTTTGAATGAAATATAAATTATTTCAGTTCTTGCTCAGCGAGCTGAAAAACTCTTGAAATACAATTTCACTGCTATTGATATGGGTTGATATATTCGAGAATAGTAACTCAACAATAGCCATCGCCTTTATACTCATTCATGCATATGAAATGAGTAGTAGATTGCTTTTGTCTCGTCTATACTCTAGAATTATAAAGTGTGAAGATTTTCTCAATACGCCCAATAGGGGCATTACGAATTGGAAAATACATTTCCAGTACCGAAGAAAGTGCTAGAAGTGCTATATATATGTATATATACGCCCATTGGAGGCGTGGCAAATCGGTAAAAACTATATTTACCGACCTAGTTGAGAGCTAGAAACCACATACAAAATATCGTCTCTCACAAATAGGTGGCGTGGCAATTCTGAAAATGGATTTGACAGTGTTCGGACCGTGAATGAGTATTCTGTTGTTGGCAAGGCCCGACTGCAAAAAGAGGACTCATACTTAGTATGGATTCAACACTTAACTAAGAAAAAGAAAAAAAAAAAACAGTTAATAAACAATATATTTTTAATCAAAATCATTTATTTCCTTGTCTATTCGTATTGCCTCTAGCAGCTATAATATATAACATGACGTTCGTCTCTAGATCCACTTAGTCCACTTCACATAAACTTACCGATAGCTTTGATCGATTGTCTGTTATTGATTTGATATATATATAGCGATATATATCGCATCTTCTATCAGTTGTTCTTAAAAAACACTTTCAATAAATTTTAGATATGGATAGACATAGGCAGCTATACAACATAAAAATTTGGTTGGTCAAAATCGTCGACCCAAAAAATAGTTAGAGTAGCCGGGATTATCTAATGCTCATGGAACGACTGGACAAAGAAACTTGTGTGCAGTCTAATTAGGCTCAGAGCTAATAAATACATTAAGCCCTGGCGTAAGCCAGTTGCAGCTCTCAAAACAGTTCTCCGAATATAATTTCCGTATATTACGGACTATTTTCTTTTTGCTTTTAAAATAACTTTTTTCGAACGGACGAAATCATTTAAACTATTTTCCCAAAAAGCTGCTAAAATGTTTGCCCAACAATTTGAGCGATTACGAATTGAGAAAGAAGGAAAGAGACAGAAGAGAGAGAGAGAGAGAGAGAGAGAGAGAGAGAGAGAGTGAGAGACCGAGAGTCAGAAAAAGAACAAGGCAAAGGGAGTGTGTGTGTGTGTGGGAGTGAAAGGGATAAGTGAGTTGTTGTTGTTGGCTTTGCTGCTGATGCTGTTGGTTCTGGTCGTTGCTGTGGTTGCCAAAATGGCAACAGCTCCACATTTATTTATTTCGAATGTCCCCCAAAATGGCCCCGTCTTACCGCCCGCCCCCCTTTTCGCTCAACGGCAGCCTCTTTATCGAGCAACTGTAGCTACTGCAATCGTGTGCCTACATTTAAGGGTTTTAATTAAATGCAACAACAATGCCAGAAGCAAACAAAACCATTGCACAATGCGACTGTGCCTGTGTGTGTGTGTGTGTGTGTGTGTGTGTGTGTGTGTGTGTGTGTGTGTGTGTGTGTGTGTGTGTGTGTGTGTGTGTGTTTGTTTAGTAGCGGGCTGTTGTGGGATCAAGAACTGTGACCGTAATAGCAGCAGCAACAATGTCCATGGAAATTAAACGAACGGATTAAATCATGAATTGACCCAAAAGGTTGCGCTCTGGAAATAAACTTAAATTATCCAATGCCAACTGGAAATATCACATGGCCCCAATAGTAAATAGAATGTACTAGTTTCCAATTAATAGCTCATCTACTTAAGAGGATTGCATGGAGCTCAAGCAATTAGAGAAATACTCGAACATCGATTAATTATGTTCAAATATCGATATAATTGAAATTTAGCTGAACTGTAGAGCAGATCGATTATGATTACTCTCTTGGATTTGGATCCCTTCAGATTAGCTGGACCCTGTAGGTACAGAGAGTTAATCTATTTAAGTCGAGTACTTGGAGTAGATTTATTCAGATTAGCGAGACCCTATAGCTCATCATCTATAGTTTATCTATTTGAGTTTTGTATTATTCGTACTTGACTCATATATCTAATAATTTAGTTTAAAGATCATGTGTAGAGTAGATTGATAGGGATCTAGATAAAAGGATCTGGAACTTTCTAGTTGCATATTAAGTATATATGTTTGTACATTCAGATCAGCCATAGCTTAAAGCATTACGAAGTGAACACGATCAATATGGTCTATAAATAAATAAAGCAGATCAAGACTGTTTTACCTATCCAATCTAAATGTCTCTAATGGCATTCCGATATGCAGTGGGCATATAAAGAGCATTCAAGCTCTATGTGAGATAAGCATACACTCGTATATACATATGTGCATGTATTATATATTCTAAATTTCAAATAATATATATATTTTTTTAATCTGTTGTTTAACACTCAGTCTCTGTTTCTCACCTGCATTTTCAGCTGCGATTTTAGTCGACAGTTTTGCATATATTTCACATTAGCAAACTATTTACATTTGTTCCAATCTTTTGTTTGACATTGTTAGGGTATTGAGGGAATTTGTGTCGTTGACAGCAGCAGCAGCAGCAGCAGCCGCAGCAGCAGCAGCAGCAGATTTTTGCAGCCCATTGGCGTTGACTACTTTGCATTTTAATCGTTTTACTTAATTGTTGGACAGCCCCACCCTCCAGGGCAGCGTCCTGTACGACAACAACAACAACAACAACAAGAGCAGCTTATTGGGGACGGACGTGCACAGGCATAATATCCAACCAGAGAGACGGAGGGCGAGAGAGAGAGGGAGAGAAGGAGAGGAAGCATAAACGTGGGCTGTAGCTATAGCAATAGGAATAGGAATAGGGATAGGGATGGATGTTGGGGTAGCTGTAGGGGCTGGCGTAGGGGTGGTTGTTGTGTTTTCTGGCTGTCACATGGACCCTGTTCGCTTTATATGGCTCGAAAATGAATGGTTGAACTTAACATTAGAGACGCTGCACGTTCTGGTCAAACAAAAGGGCGGCTGCAGCTCCAAAAACTATAGACAATGGGGCGTATGAGCAACAACAACGATAGCGCAACTACAACAGGCCAAATAAATTGTAAACATGGGAGGCGGCACAACAACAACAACAACAACAACAACAACAACAATAATAACAACAACAAGGAAAAAACAGCATTGAGCAAAATGAAGAGATTAGTGAAATGACCAACAGAACACGGCAGGCGATGAGACTGGCCCATCCACATGGTTAGGTTAGTTGAATGGGTTACAAGTAGTTAGGATCTGTCGGCGTGTGTGTGGGTCTGTCTGTGGCTCTCACTGTGTGTGTGTGTGTGCCAATAGCAGCAGCAAAAGGCGAGAGGCGAAAGCAATGAAGACAAAACATTTAAGCAAAGCTCCTCTGATCTCTGAGCAGTCAGCTATATGCAGCTCACACTCACACTCACACTCATCGCATGGCACATTCGGCTCCTGCTGCCTTTTGGCCCTTTCGGTTTGGTCCACTTCCCGTTGCTTTTTATGGCCATGTCAAACACTGCAAATCAGTTTAAACTAACAACTGCCATGGGATGGAATTGG